ATTGCCCAACCTTCCTTCCGAGGAGTGGCTGGTGGGTTTGAACCGCCAGCCTTCTGGTTAGCAGTCAAGTGCTTTAGCCACTATGCTACCAGAGCTCCTGTCTTGCACATTGTTGTTGTTGTTGTTATGTGCCATCGAGTCGGACCCGACTCATAGCATAGTAGATGCTTAATAAACACTCGCTATTAAAATTGCTGTTCTATACATTGTACATACATCTATGATAGGATTTCTCATTCTCTATCCAGTACAGTGATTATCTTAAGTTTCTATCTCTACCAGTAGGAGCTCTGGTGGGGCAGTGGTTAGGACATTCAGCTGCTAACCAAAAGGTCAGCAGTTTGAACCCACCAGCCATTATTCTGCAGGGGAAAGATGAGGCAGTCTGCTTCCCTAAAGATCTACAGCCTTGGAAACCCTATGGGGCAATTCTGGTCTGTCCTACAAGGTGGCTATGAGTCAGAATCGACTTGATGGCAGTGCATTTTGTTTTCTGGGTCTCCATCAGAGACTGAATTTTCAGTATTATTTGTTTCTGCATCCCAGGTACACCCACAGCAGGCATTCAGTGCATGTTTTTCAGATGAATGGAGGAATCTTTTCTCTAAATTTTCTCTAAATTGGTAATGGTATGCTGGATGAATAGATGGGTCATTACAGTTTGGTTGGGTGGATGGACAAATGAATAGATTAATGGTAGTTGGATGGATGGTTTACTGAGTGGATGGGTAAGACGGATGGATGGATGGATGGATGGTTGGATGGAGGGATGAATTCACTCTACAAGGCCATGAATTTTTGTTTGCTTTGTTCACTTATCTATTCCAGGTGCCTAGAATGGTGACTGGGAGCTCTGGTGGTATAGTGCCTAAGGCACTTGACTGCTAACCAGAAGGCTGGCAGTTCAAACCCCCCAGCCACTCCTCAGAAGGAAAGTTGGGCAATCTGCTTCTGTAGTGATAATGCCTTGGAAACCCAAGGAGGAGGGGTTGCTATGAGTCAGGTCTGACTCTAAGGCACATAACAACACAAGAATGCTGACTGGTGCATAGTAAGATCTCAGTACTTAGTTGCTGAATGACTGGCATATGTAGCATTGGCAGAGTCTTCCCTGAACCACAGGGAAACTCCCATGCTGCTGTCTGCTTTAGGAGGGGCCCCTACAGTTCAGATGAGCCAATGGTGAAAGGCAGAATCACGTTTTGGTGAAAGTTGTTATGGATCCCCCTGCTGGTGGTAACATGGAACAGCATGAGCCAAGTGGCGTTTTCCTATTCACATTCTCTTTGCCTCCTGGCGGACAGTCCTGAACATTTATTCATGAAGCAGAGTTCTCAGCCTTCTGTGCTCATTACCATCACCCTGAGGTACCTCATTACACCTGTAGGTTTCCCTTTCAACAAGAGATTCTGGCTGATGAGGCCAGGAATCTTCATGTTTACGGAGTCTCCTAGTCAGATGTTTCTTGTACCACACTCTGAGAGGCCCTGGCTTAGAGAGTGAAGCACTGCTTGTATTGAGAGGTGACCTGCTGCTTTGGGGGATGTCTCTGAATTCCCAAATGACGTCCAGACCACGTGGGAAAAGGGTAGTGTCTCAAAGGCAATGGTTAAGAGCTGTGGTTTGGAATTTGGCCAGCCCTGAGTTCAAATCCCAACTCTATCACTTACCAGCTGTGTGATCTGAGCTTCCTCATCTGTAAAGTGGGGCGATAGTTACATCTGATGGGAATGTTGGGGAAATTTTATGTAGAAGGATTGGCAGGAGACTAGACACACGTAGCTATTCAATTAATAGTGAATGAATGAGTATGTAGCTAAATAATTCAACGCTCCTTCCTTTTCCTTTTCTTCCTGATGTGGAGGACAGGGCCTGTGGGCTTGATATCCCCCACTGGCAGCAAGCCTCGGGAAGGAAGGGACTCCCTTCACAAATAAGTGTTGAGAAAATGAATGAACTGGATCTGCTTCAGCCTCAACCAGGTCCAGCAGACAGTCCAGCAAAGGCCTGTTGTTGTTAGTTGCCCTTGAGCTGGTTTCAACTCCTGGTGGCCTTCCATGTAACGGAGCAGAACGCTGCCGTGCACCATCCTCACAGTCATTGACAGGTCTGAGCCCATGGTTGCAGCTTCTGTGTCAGTGCAACTCATTGAGGGTTGTCTTGTCTTTGCTGACCCTGCACTTGTCATTTTGTCCTACTGTGATGGCCTGCATACTGCTGTGACACCTGAAGCTAGGCTACCAGGATTCCAGATACCGTCAGGGTCACCCCTGGTGGACAGATTTCAGCAGGGCTTCCAGACTTACCAGGAAGAAAGGCCTGGTGAGCTTTCATAACTGAAAATCCACTCGCTGTTGTAGTTGAAATTATGGCTATATAAGAATGGCCAGTATAATTTGTAGTGATATGTAAATAGCGATATGTAAAAATCGTCTGCTGAATATTAGTCCATGAAGGCCTTATGGATAGCCAATTGCTACAAAAGGACATCATGTTTGCTAAAGTAGGAGGTCAGCAAACACCTTGTTGTTGTTGTTATGTGCCGTCGAGTCGGCCCTGACTCATAGCAACCCCTCCTTGGGTTTCCGAGGTGGTATCACTATGGAAGTAGATTGCCCAACCTTCTTTCCGAAGAGTGGCTGGTGGGTTTGAACCGCCAGCCTTCTGGTTAGCAGTCAAGTGCCTTAGGCACTGTTTGGGACTTAAGGTACCTCATGAATCATTGTATATTTGACAATATGGAAGTAGATTGCCCAACCTTCTTTCCGAAGAGTGGCTGGTGGGTTTGAACCGCCAGCCTTCTGGTCAGCAGTCAAGTGCCTTAGGCACTATTTGGGACTTAAGGTACCTCATGAATCATTGTATATTTGACAAATATGTGGGAACTGTGGGGCAAATTATCCTACCAGTCCATAAACTCCTGTGCTTGTCCAGGATACAGCTTGTCCCAAGAACAGAGCCCCATAGGACTAAAGGTCCCCCATTCCCAGTCAGGTTTAGTGAAGAAGACAGGGCAGTGTTCTGGAAGATGAGGGCAGGGCTCCCCACACCGCTGCCTCTGCTTGCTCCCTTCGAGCCCTCCAGCGACGAGGCTTCTCACACCTGTGTCTCTGCTGTCTTGCAGGTGGCAGCCCTGAGCCTGAGGCCTGACCGAATGGAAAACGCCCGGCTTCTGTTTCCACCAGGTGGACATCCCAAGCTTGGGCCCCAGCTGGACATGAGGCCAGAAACGGGGCCCGCGGTGAAGTAATGCAGCCCCAACAGGCCCGAGGAGCCGAGAGGGGAAGAGACAGGAAAGGCAGCGCCTGGTGACGCTCACAACCTCCCTCCAATTGCTATTTTCAAAGTCTTTGAGGAAGTCTCTGAAGTGAAGAACAAGATGTAGGAAAATGGGACTCGCTCCGGGGTGCCCTGAGCCTCAAACCCCCATTCTTGGCCCAGAAACTCACCTTGACCTCAGGGAGGGTTGTGGGCACGCTCCTTTCTCCTGGTCTCAGTCCAAGGCTGCACCTCCCTGTCCCCTCTGGTCCTGGCAGTCACCTTCACAGAGGGGATAAGAGTGAACATCCCAGAGATTCCATCCCTAAGGAAGGCTCAGGAACCCCAGCCCCCTCATCTCTTCCCCAGCCTCCAGCTAAGCCCAAAGAGCCAGTCCGGAATGACCCCACTATGGCCAAGCTCTGGTTCAAATTCCAGCGGTACTTCCGCCGGAAACCCGTGCGCTTCTTTACCTTCCTGGCGCTCTACCTGACGGCCGGGAGCCTCGTCTTCCTTCACTCCGGCTTCGTGAGCCAGCCGGCTGCTCCCCAGAACCAGGCCAACCCTGCCGCGGGGGCCCCAGCCGAGGGCGCGGAGCTGCCCTTCCTGGGCGACTTGCACCTGGGCAGAGGCTTCCGGGACACCGGTGAAGCCTCAAGCATCACCCGCAGGTACGGCCCCTGGTTCAAGGGCAAGGACGGGAATGAGAGAGCCAAGCTGGGTGACTATGGTGGAGCCTGGAGCCGAGCCCTCAAGGGGAGGGTTGTCCGGGAGAAGGAGGAGGAACGAGGTAAGAGGGGTGAGCATCTGGGGGTGGAGGGAACAGGAGTCACGTCCTGTGGTGCAGTCTCGTGTGATGCGATGTAGTCGGACCGTGTGGCCGGGTTTAGTACAAGATAGTATAATGTAACAGTAATTGGCATAATACAGAATATATAGGATTATCTGCTGAGCCTGAGTGCTGCACATGGTGTGTCTGCTGCTGCTAACCGGAAGGTTAGCAGTTCAAACTCCAACAGAGGCTCTGTGGAACAGACTTAGCAATCTGTTTCCATGTAGATAACAGCCAACAAAACCCCATGGGGCGCTTCTCCTCTGTAACACATGGGGTTGCCGTGAGTCAGGGCTGAGTCAACAGCAGGCAACAACATGGTATAGAGGCGAGTAGATTATAAAGGAGCCCTGGTGGTGCAGTAGTTAAGTGCTCGGCTGCTAACAGAAGGGTCAGTGATTTGAACCTACTCGGCTGCAGGTGATCTGCTCCATTAAACACTTTAACCTCGGAAGCCCCCTGAGGCAGTTCTGCTCTGTCATGTAGGGTCACCGTGAGTCATAATCGACTTGACAGCACGTGACACTGCATATAGTGTAATATAAGGAACGTGAGAGAAATCAGTCATTACCTACCAGTTTTTCAAAAGAACCTCCTGTCATACAGCTCTAGGTAAATACTAGTTTTCATTACCAACCTCATTCCACAAACGAGAAAATTGAAGCTCAGAAAGATTTCGTAGCTTGCCCAGCGTCACACAGCTTCTGAACAGCCAGGCTGGGGTTTGAAGTCTGAGCCTCCCTGGCAGCCTCTTTTTGGTTCTGGTTAACTATGCATGAAAATAAAAACAGCTGGCACTTACTGAGCCTTTGTAATACTTTGTAATACTTTGTAACACTGTGTTCTAAGCTGTTTGCATGGATTGAATTGTTTACTTAGCACAGCTCTGTGTGGTGTAGGTGCTAATATTATTCCCATTTTACAGATAAGGAAACTGAGCACTGACAGGTTACTTAACAGGCCAAGGGAAACGGCAGGCCTCTGCCCAGTACACTGCTCTCTGTCTACACGCTGGAGCCCTTGGTGATAGTTCTGGGGGGCGGAGGGGGGTACATCCTTGCCCCTGGGCATATTTTCTTAGCCTTTCACAGCCCAGAGAGGCTTTTCTTTGTGGGTGCCTTACCTCAGTTGCTTTTCACTGCACTTCATGGGCTCAAACAAAGAATGCAATTCTATGCCCAGTTAAGAGATACGGAAACTGAGGTGTGAAGAGGGGAAGACACTGGCCTGAAGCTGGAGGTGGCAGCACTAGAGTTCAAATCCAAATCTGTCTGACCTAAACGCCCAGTCTCTCTCTCTCTCTCCCGGCATCTGCTGACGTCTACGCATCTGACCAGCATGCTGGGGCGGCACCTACAACCTCTGCAATTCATGAGCTCAGCACGAATGGATATTTAGGGAAACCTAGGCAGATGGTTTGGGAGAATAAACCGCCCAATCAGGGCAGAAGGAATAGCTCGCTTGCCTTTGTGTTTCCTGCCACTTGTCATACTCCCGCTGTGATTCAACTCATGGAAAACCCCTTCTCCCACCCTGAGGGGCACACTCTCCTCCCCAGTCCCTCCCCGCCTTCTGGCTGGGAGCCATTAAGAGGACCTTACCTTCCTATCCTTAAGGATCTTCTAGAGTCCTGCCATTTCAAGAACTCAACCCTCACCAGGAGGTGAAAGAGAAGGGGGAAGGTGGAAGCACAGACGGGGATCTTGGATGCACATTCCAGCTCCAGCTCAACCATCTGTGGGGTCCAGACAAGTGGGTTTGCCTTGTCAAGCCTCAGCCTTGTTGTCTGTAAAGTAGGGGCAGTGAGCCCTCCCTCTCAGGCTGCTCCTGTGAGTTCAGTGAGACAGCACTCATGCAAGCCCTCAGCACAAGGCCTGGCACAGAGGAGGTCCCGGGAGTGTCTGGGAAATGCTCATTGAATGTGTCAGGGAAAGGAGTTGGTCTTGCAGGCCCAGGTGGGCTGGAGGCATTGATGGGAAATCATGGGTGGCCTTCCCTCTCCACCTTCTCCACTCACCATGCCCCATCTCAGCCCAGCTGCTCCACACTCCACCTGGTATTTTGAGGGAGCCACAGTTTGTCATATGCCTTTGCTTTAGGATAGGCTTCCCATCACACTTTGGACAAATTCCAGACCTTCTACCGTGGCCCACCTCTTCATCCCCATCTTCTAATGCTCTGTCCCTCCTTGCAGTTGGTGGATCGTGCCATGGTCATTCCCACTTCAGTATCCTTGTCTGTGCAGTCTCTTCCATCTTGGATGCTCTGCTTCCAGATCTGCATGGCTACCCTCCTGCCTGCCTTTGGGTTTCCAGTCACACCTGGCCTTCCCGTAGGAGGCCTTCCCGAGCTGTCCTACCTACAGGACCCCCACTTCCCACCAGGTCACAGCCACATTCCCCAGCTTGATGTTCATTAGAGCAGTTACTGCCATCTGAAAGCACCTTGTTCATGTGTTTGCTTCCACGCTCATGATCTGCCTCCCTGACTAGACTATTAGCCCTATGAGGGCAGGGAGGCTTCCTGTCCTGTTCACCTCTGTTCTGTCAGCACCTAGGACAGTGCCTGGGGCAAAGATGGTGCTTAATACAATCTTGGTCACCCCTGTGCCTAGAGTCCACCCCATGGTTAGTCCACTCTTCTCCAGGACAGCTTAGCTCACCTCCAGGAAACCCCCTGACCCTCCAGGCTTGATCATATGCTCCTCCCTGTGCTCCCTCTCATGGTCCTTACATGGATGGCAAAGTTCTGTACTAGTCCAGGGCCCCAGATAATATTCTTTGATCCATACAACAACAACAACATCCCTCATTTGTTGTGAAAAATTAAATACTGCTGCCACTGTTAATGGGAGCTCTGGTAGCATAGTGCCTAAGACACTTGAATGCTAACCAAAAGGCTGGTGGTTCAAACCCACCAGCCACTCCTCAGAAGGAAGATGAAGCAATTTACTTCCGTAGTGATACTGCCTCGGAAACCCAAGAAGGGGTCGCTATGAGTCAGGTCTGACTCGATGGCACATAATAACAACAAGAAGCCACTGTTAATAGAAGGAGTTCTGGTGGTACGGTTGTTAAGGCATTCAGCTGCTAACCAAAAGGTTGGTATTTTGAAGCTACCAGCTGGTCCACAGGAGAAAAATCCATGAAGATTTATAGCCTTGGAAACCCTATGGGGAAGTTCTATTCTATCCTATAGGGCCACTGTGAGTTGGCATTGACTTGATGGCAGTGGGTTTGGTTTTTGGTTTTGACCACTATTAATAATTAATGCCATCAACAAAATACATAAAAGCCTTGTTTCCTCACCCTACATTGGTGACTAGTGACTGGGGTCTTAAAAGCTTTCAAGTGGCCATCTGAGATGCAGCTAATGGTCTCCTATCATCAGAAGGCAAAGAAGAGTGCAAAAAAAAAAGGTGTTTGGAAGCAATCAGCCCTAGGACATGATGGCCCTCGAGACCAGAAGAACTAGATGGTGCCTGGCTACCAATGCCAACCACTTGGGAAAGGATCAAATCTCAAATCTGGAGATCCTGGATAGAGAGGGTGGGAAAATGTGGAACAAAATCCAAAAACTCAATAATGACCAGAATTACTGGTCAAATGAAGTCTGGTGAGACCCCCCAATACTATGGCCCTGGAATACATTCTGGGCCTGGAATAAAACTCACTCCCAGGGGCTGGCTCTCAGCCCAATAGTAAACAAGATGTACACGCAGACCACTCAACCCAAGGTGACGCACCCACATACTCCATGGAAATACATCCCTTGGAGCAATCGACCATGTGGCACCAGAGGGGCAACATTCCCACGGAAGAAATGCAGGACAAACAGGAGTGCCTAACTATGAGGGGCAGGGGGGGAGGTTACTATGCAGAGGGGGAGGAGACTGGGTTAGGGTTGGGCATGGTGAATGGGGAGTGAAACTAAATGTGCACGTAATGTTGAGTATAAAACAAACTCAAAATAAAAAAATAAAAGATACACACACACAAAAAAAATGCCATTTCTAGAGCACCTACTTCACGCTAAGCACTGTTCTAGTTGCTTTTCATGTCATATGGACGAGATGATAAATGTAAAATGTTTATTACACCTCCTGGCAATTAATAATAGATCACTGGATGTTTGCTGTCATTATTAGTTGTTGTTGTACGCTGTTAAGTCAATTCCAACTCACAGTGGGCCTATAGGTCAGGATATAACTGCCCCATGGGGTTTCCAAGACTGTAAATCTTTAAGAGAGCAGACTGCCACATTTTCCTCCTGTTGGGTGGCTGGTGAGTTGGAACTACCAAGCTTTTGGTTAGCAGCCAAGCACTAAACTCCTGTGCCACCAAGGCTCCCAAGTAGCAGTAGGGCACCCACTCCTCATTTGTTGACATGCTTAGGCTCCAAAGACCAGGTCGTTATGCAAAAATTGGTGTTAGGCGAAAATGGAGGATGATACTATCGGATCACAAAATGGCAGACAGCATCATTAAGTAACTGCCAAATGACATCATCATGTGACTGCCAAACCACTGAGAATCACAGTCCAGCCAGGTTGACACATATCCTTACCCATCCCAGCCAGCGTTGCTCTCGCCTAGTACCTTAGTATTCATTACAGCCAGATGTGCATCATTAATGCAAAATCGTGGGAGAGTAGATTTTCCACTGTTGTTATAAACGTGAAATGTTGGATAATGAGGTGGTTGATAAGTGAAGAGTTTGTTGTTGTAGTTGTTGTTATGTGCTGTTGAGTCGGACCTGACTCATAGCAACCCCTCCTTGGCTTCCGAGGTGTTATCTCTATGGAAGTAGATTGCCCAACCTTCCTTCCGAGGAGTGGCTGGTGGGTTTGAACCACAGCCTTCTGGTTAGCAGTCAGATGCCTTAGGCATTACACTACTAGAGCTCCCAAGTGAAGAGTTGTTGTTGTTGTTGTTGTTGTTTGCCATCGAGTCAGCCCT